AAGGAGGAAGGAAGAGAAGGAGAGAGATAGAAAGAGAGAGAGATGAAAGAAAGAAGAGAGAGAGAGAAAGTAAGGAAGGTTTGATGAGTGTATGAAGCCCCCACGTGGCTTTGGGAAGCCATTATGTCTCGGTTTGCTTGGGGAACCTCTTCTGAGAAAGAGGAAGATGGGGCTTGCGGGCTCTTTGGGTGGTTCTTGTGAAGTCCTGCCTCTTATTTATTTATTTTGTTCTCCTCCCTTCCCTCAGTGAACCCCAACTACACCGGAGGGGAACCCAAGCGTTCCCGAACAGCTTATACCAGGCAGCAAGTCCTCGAACTGGAGAAGGAGTTCCACTTCAACCGGTACCTGACCAGGCGCCGCCGGATCGAGATCGCCCACACTTTGTGTCTCTCCGAGCGCCAGATCAAAATCTGGTTCCAGAACCGGAGGATGAAGTGGAAGAAAGACCACAAGCTGCCCAACACCAAGGGTCGCTCCTCGGGGTCTACCACCGCCTCCAGCCAGCGTTTACAGACGGTCTCTAAGGAGCATCAGACGGACTTGATCGCTTTATAGGAGACGGAGGGGAAATGGTCCAGTTTCAGCGGGTTGATTCGGAGCTGAACTACCCTGCGCAGCCAGCCACAGACACGCTCTTTCTCTCTCTCTCTCTTTCACACACACACGCACAGACACACGCACAAAACCTGCAGGCTGCCCAAAGGGAAATCTGCCTGGACCGGCTACAGACCTCCGAAGTGGCCTCCTCCCGCCCCACCTTCGGGTACCTTGAGAACAGGCCCAAAGGACGCTGTGGACTTCGTAGGGACTGAACAGCACAAGGACCCCTCAAACAAACTGTGCATCCAGCTGGTGAGGAAACGATAGAGATATATAGAAAGAAATATTTTTAATAAGACTTTTCCTGTAGACAGAAACAGCCCCCCCCCCAACCACCCACCAAACCGTGGGGCCTCCTGTCCAGAATCCGCGAGGGGAGTTCGGCGGGATCCCGTTTCTCTGGGATCTGCCGCTGCTTTCTTTTGCTCTCTCTCCCCCCCCCCTCTGTGCCCTTCTGGGCTGGGCGTTTGGTCGGGTGAGGCCAAACCCAGATCTAAGCAGAGAATGTGTGAACTCTGTTCCTCAAAAAAAAAAAAAAACACCTTTGACCATTTTTTTTTGGGGGGGGGAAGTGTAACTCCCCTCCCACCCCATGTCTCGGGGATATTTTTTAAAAAAAACATGAAACGAAAACGGGTTATTGTTATTTTAAAATTGTTGTTAGTGTATTTATTTATTGGTTGGCTAGAGAGCAGGGAAAGGAAGGAAACAGTCGAACCAAAAATAGTGAAAAAAGAGTATTCCCCTCCCCCCCTCCGCGTTGCCGAGATTGTTTATAATAATGATAATAATAGAGGACTGTCTCTCTTTCTCTCCCCCCCCCGTTTTCTGATCCTTGTGTGTGTGTGTATGTATATGAAAATGTTTTCTATATCTTACAGAGGGTGAGAAGGAGCTGTGATCCTTCTGCAAAGAAATAGACTGAAAAGGTTTCCTTAAAAATAACACACAAATAACGCGCCCTACTTTGAGCCGTCTTCTAATACCCCCCCCCCCAATCTACAAAAATCCCATGGTTCCAGATAACTTGTGGCATCCAGGAAGCTTACTGCTTAATCAAACTGTGACTTCTTTTTCTTGCTCTTTTAAATTTTTCACCGCTCTATTTTTAATTACACCGTTGCCTTTTGCTTTTTTTTTTTTTTTTTAAGGGGTGTGTGTTTGGACTAACATGTGTTGGGTGATCAAGTGTGCTTTCCTTTTGATTCAAACCCAAAGAAGGAGCTGGGCTATTTTTTTTTTAAATTTTCTTAGGAAATACTTGGGGGGGGGGACTGGATCTAGAAGGCATCTAGAAGGCAGACCTTGACTTAAGGCTGGGTGCAATATTGCGGGCTGTGGTGGGACAGTCGCTGCGAGAGGGACCACGGGCTTCCCCGGCGATGGCAAAGATGGGAGAAACCAAAACCAAAGCAGTAGCCCCTTCCGCTTGGGAGAGGAACGAAATTTTGTGATGTACAATAATACAGAAGAGCTCGCGGTGTCACTGGAGAAAGCCAGAGGGGTTTGTTCGTTTGCTGGGACTGCGCGGCTCGTTGCAGAAGCAAGCTCCGAAGTCCGCGCGCTGGGGGAAAAGGGGGAAGGAGCATTTCGGGTTCCTGGGAAACAGGACTGTCTGCGCCGGTCCCTTCAGCTGCGCCGTAATGTCTTAGGATTCCTTTCAGAGCAGAGCCGATTATCAGGGCTTTTCTTGGTGAAGAAAGGCAGGGGCAGAGGGAAAGAAAGAGGGGGGGGGAGAGCTTGCAGGGGAGGGCCGATTTGGAAAAAATAAAAACGAATAGCTCTGCCAGAGAGAGGCGTTTATCCGGGGAGCCGTGTGTCCCTTCCCCGAAGCTCGATCCTACCCTAGTTTATGGGAGTCGGTGCCCGTGGAAACCGGTCGGGCCAAGCCTCGGATTCATTCGATCGATGCCTTTAGGATCGGGATCCTAGAGGCTCTTTTGTCTGCTGGGTCCCTTCTCCCTTTGTTCTCCTTTGAGCGCCCGGCCGGCCTCCTCAGCCTCGCCCCCGGGCGCCCCTTGAATATCTGCCCGTCGGGATATTAAAGATGGATATTCCTGCATTATCCGCGTCATTGTCTCTACGACAAAAAGCGCCGGAGTCCATGCATAGTGAAGATGTCTTCTTCTCTGACGCCTTCACGTTGAGAGGCTGAAAAGGTTTGGGGCTTTAAAAAAAAAACCAAAACTGAACTTAGGCTAAATTGTAGAGCCAGGTTCATCCAGAGGACAAATTTTCTGTTCGATTAGCCGTATTTCAGCCTGGAGGGATGACCTCTAAACCCTTCACCTTTTGGACTCCCCCCAGTCCCTTTCCCCTTTTCCCAAGCACAGAAATGCAGCCTGGTTCGCCATCTCAGAGCTCCTTTTTGAAATCAGACTTTCGAACAGAAAACTCTGGCTTTGGATGGAACCACTGTTCTCATATGCAACCCAGGCCCCTTTTCAACTCCCCCTGTCCCAGTCTCCAGGAAAGGGAAATCGGCTATTGTTGAGTTTAGGCCGGGGATGAAATGTGTGTGCTGCCACCACAACATGGGTATTTCGGAAAGGAAGTCAACAGTCCCGGCTGCCTTACAAACCCAGCCCGAAACAATCCTGATCAATGCTCCCTCTAAGCTGTGGAGTCTTGTGAGCAAAAATTGTACTTTGTGAGCCACTGGCATTAAAGTTATGAGTGAGCGATTTGGCTACTGCATAAATTAGTTTGCTCTGGAGCCATCCTTCCTGAGCGAAGACAAAAATGTGTGAGCCAGAGGCTAAAAAACTGTGAGCTAGCTCACACTAACTCAGAGGGAACACTGATCCTGACTCAAAAGCAAATCCCTCCCCCCTCCCCGTTCAGGCTGCAGTCCTACGCCAACATACCCTGGAAGCAAGTCTCATTGAACAAAGTGGGATTTTTTTCAGGGAAAATAGGCAACGGATTGCCGTTCGTAAGTGTATTAAAGATTGCAGTATTCGAGCAATCCCCTGGTCAGTATTCCAGAAAGGGGGCAAGAGAAGTTGGAAATGGAAGAGGAGGGGGGGGGAGAGATCTGGCATTTGCTCCATTGAAAGATGCTTTCCGAGAAGTTATCCCCCCCCCATTTCAATGGAACTGAAGCACCCAACCCACGTTTGCTCAAAAACAAGTTCCCCTGATTTCAGTGGGATGTTGCCCCTAGTATGTACGGGCCCGATTATAGACTTCAGGTCGATTATAGACTTCAGGTCGGTTAGGGTGAGACTTCAATGCTGCAGATCTAGATGAGGAAATAAGACCCATTGAACTCAGTGGAGTTTGTTTGCAAATCAACGTGTTTTGGAAGGGGACAACCAATGGGACAAATTTGACCTCACAATGTAGCCCATCCATCCCCTGCCTAAAACGAAAGTGAGCTTCAGAAGTGTGAAGACAACAGAACTGGCCCGAAGTTCTTTTGTGATGCTAATAGCCCTGGGGCAAATGTTTTCTTCTTCTTCTTCAGGTTTCCTAGTCTTAAAAGCCGTGCTAGAAGGGGAGAAAGAGACCCCTTTGAGCTCCCTTTTGTGAAGTCTTAAATCTTGCTTGCCAACTATATTAGTCAGCCCCGGGAAAGATGATGATGGAAGGGACCCAATATCAAAGAAATCCCCCCTTGGGGGGGGGGAGTTAACATTTGGCCAAAGGTGGATTTTGAAAAGGAAGGCCACCATTCCTTTCCTATCATCTCTCTTTGGTTGAGGATGATTTGGGGGGGGGTTATAATAATGATGAAGGCTCTTTTGAATTATTCTGAAATCTTCCTGCTCTCAAGCTGAAGGGGTGGGGGAGAATCCTTTAGGTTGTTTATATTGTTATCTTAGGGATGCAAAGTTGTATAATGACCACAACCTTTGTGATAAGAAGTGGCATTGTGGCAGTCCTGTTGTTGACTGTGAGATGTTTTCTAGGAGTCTGCCATTTTTTGTTGTTGTTTTGCTGCCTCTGATTAAAGCATTATTTATACAAATGATTTTGGTGTAAGCCCTCTTTATATCTTTTGCAATAAACGGTGTCAAAAGCAGAATGGGAACAGGGCACGCTTCAGGGCAAATATTAACCCTTAACTCTAGAAACCTGAGCAGAATCACTCTCTTCTGTAAGAAAGGTTTCACTCTGCTTAGAGCTGCACTGTTAAATTTGAAAGAAACACACAGGTCGGTCATTGCAAAGTATATGTTGCTGTGTATGTGTGCAAATGTGTGTGCAATGTTACTAGAACGGCCCATACCCAACATGTGCCACTGCGGCCTCTTTGTGAATGGAGTCCAGTGTTCCCGCTAAGCTGAGTTAGTGTGAGTTAGCTCACAGTTTTTTATCCTCCGGCTCACACATTTTGGTCTGAGCTCAGGAAGGACAGCTAATTTATGCAGTAGCCAAATCACTCACTCACAACTTTAATGCCAGTAGCTCACAAAGTAGAATTTTTGCTCACAAGACTTCACAGCTTAGAGGGAACATTGGATATGACCACATATCTACTTGACCACAACTGTCCTGATGAATGTTGCCCTGGTTGGATACTCAGTTGTGTATACAGATACATGTTTATGCAGGGGTAAGGTTCACTGAGCTGAGCTGGGCCTGTTCCCAAAGAAGCCTAACGCTTAAGCATTTTTACTTGGCAGCCACTGAATTCAGCGGGGCTTACTTCCAAGGCAATTTGTGTAGGACTGCGGCTGTCTAGGCCAGCCTGAAGTGTATTTACTCAGAAACAAGCCCCACAAATCTCAGCCCAAGTTACTTCCAAGCATGGCAATCAGACTGGGAATTTAAATCTCAAAGTTTACTCCTAAACAAGTGTGGATCAGTGGCCTAGTATCAGAAAGGTAAAAGGAGGCAGGGCAAAATCCATTAAAATTCATATTGCAGTGGCTGATTTTCACTCTCTTGCCCCGTACCTATAATAATACCTTCTGTTTTGATATGCCTGACATCCTGACCCTGAGCACAGCAAGCCCCATTCATTTCAGGATTCACTTCCAAGTGTTGGCCAGGATCCAAAGTACCTTGTGACCAACAGAGCCATTCTTAGCAGAGTCCCCCCCCCCAAGTCCATTGAAGCCAGTGGGCTTGGAAGGGCACAGCGCTGGTTAGAACGGCACTGCAATTCATGTGCCCACCAGGAATATAGGTTCCAATGCGCAGCCATGTTGGTCTGCAGTCCAGTAGCCCCTCCTGGCTTTGAATCTTGCTCTCCATGTGCTCAAGAAGGCCTGGGACTGTCAAACAGTAGCCTTCCTGGGCTCTTATCAGAACTGTGTTTGAAAGTGAGGAGAGTTTCAAAGGCTGTGTGTGTGTGTGTGT